AAAACAAATGACCGTAGATACATGAAATTTTCACTGGTTGTTTATATTTGCATTTTCTATACACGATAAAATTTTCAAAATATTTTGATTTATTTTGAACTGTTTAGGGACATTTTCATTTTCCTTTTTTTTTTAGTTTTTTTTCTAAAAATATCAATAAAATTTTATTTGTTGGTTGCGAAAGCTTGAAAATTTAATAGAAGGCTCCTAATATGTTGTTTCAAAGGCAGATGAAAAATATTAAAAATCCTTAGTCACAATTTTTTTTTATAAGCATTTAAAGTTCAAAAATTGACAAAATATGGAAAAATCACGAAAATTAGCAAATTATTTTGAGTTAAGAATTCGTAAAAATTTTTCTTTTTAAATCTAAGATTTGAAAATGAAACACAAGATTCCTTATAAGATTATCTACCTTTATCAATAAAAAAATCTCTACCGGACAGTCAAATTAAATTTATATGAGCGTTTGAAATTCAAATTTTTACAACATTGAATTTTCACTCGATTACTCATGTAGCGATTTCCTTATTTTGTTGCAATTCAAAAACGAACAACTGTAGATACATGAAAATTTCACTGAATGTTTAAATTAGCATTTTCTATACACCATATAATTTTGAAAATATTTTGACTCTTTTTGAGCTGTTTATGGACATTTACAGCTTTCAATTTTTTTTAGTTTTTTTTTCTACAAATATCAATAAAGTTTTATCTGTTGGGCCAAAAAGTGTAAAAATTTAATACAAGGCTCCTGATATATTGTTACAATAGCAGTTGAAAAATATTAAAAATACATAGGCACAGTTTTTTTTTATAAGCATTTAAAGATCAAATTTTGACAAAATTTATCAAAATCTCAAAAATTATCAATCATTGTAATTAATAAATTATAAAATGTTCAGTTTTTATAGCTAAGGATTACAAATTCAACACAAAGGTTCTCATAAATAGTTCATACTATAACCAAAAAATCTAAAAAATATAATATGAACACAGTTATTTTTTATCGACATTTTAAATTCAAATTTGGACGAAATTACATATTAAAAAACCTAGAATAACTATTTTAGTTATTTTGTTGTGATTGAATAATATTATTCGTGGGTACTTGAAACTTCTATAGTGTACTATTATATATCTATGATAGTATCACGGTTTTTGTTGATGTATAACGCGTTATAAGTACCTAATGGATATTGTGATATGATTAATTTGGAATTCATTATAGGTCAATTTTTTTAATACCATAGATAAGTATATAATATGTCTTATACATACACTGACATACCGTCACCGCTCAGAATCGTTTTTCTTATACAATGATATTATATCATTGAATTCAAATTTAATACCATCCATTATACAGTGACCCACTTGTAACCTACTGTACAGCAGAGCGACACCCACTTGCCCACCTTTTTTATTTATATTTTTATATTTTTGTGTCTGTCATCACGTTTTAGGACAGTAAAAGTGCTTGGATTTTCTTCATCAGTAGCTTTTCTGATAGGAAAGTGAATCTAGTTGGTACTTTGGGGGGTCAAAAGTATAAATTTCCCAGTAGTTTTCACTAGCGCCGGGAAAAACAACATAAAAATTAAGGAAAAACGGGAATTTTTACGCAAAATTGGTTTTCCAAAAAATCGATTTTGGTTTTTGGTGTAACTCTGAAACAAATGAAAGTATATACATGACATTTTCACTGGTTGTTTATATTTGTATTTTCTATACACGATAACATTTTCAAAATATTTTGATTTATTTTGAACTGTTTAGGGACATTTTCATTTTCCATTTTTTTTTAGTTTTTTTTCTAAAAATATCAATAACATTTTATTTGTTGGTTGCGAAAGCTTGAACATTTAATAGAAGGCTCCTAATATGTTTTTTCAAAGGCAGATGAAAAATATTAAAAATCCTTAGTCACAATTTTTTTTATAAGCATTTAAAGTTCAAAAATTGACAAAATATGGAAAAATCACGAAAATTAGCAAATTATTTTGAGTTAAGAATTCGTAAAAATTTTTCTTTTTAAATCTAAGATTTGAAAATGAAACACAAGATTCCTTATAAGATTATCTACCTTTATCAATAAAAAAATCTCTACCGGACAGTCAAATTAAATTTTTATGAGCGTTTGAAATTCAAATTTTTACAACATTGGATTTTCACTCGATTTCTCATGTAGCGATTTCCTTATTTTGTTGTAATTCAAAAACGAATAACTGTAGATACATGAAAATTTCACTGAATGTTTATATTAGCATTTCCTATACACCATACAATTTTGAAAATATTTTGACTCTTTTTGAGCTGTTTACGGGCATTTTCAGTTTTCAATTTTTTTAGTTTTTTTTTTTATAATTGTCAATTAAATTTTATTTGGTGTGCCAAAAAGTCTGAAAATTTAATACAAGCTTTCTTATATATTGTTACAATATCAGTTGAAAAATTTTAAAAATACATAGGCACGATTTTTTTTTATAAGCATTTAAAGTTGGAATTTTGACAAAATTTATCAAAATCTCGAAAATTATCAATCGTTGGAATTAAAAAATTATAAAATGTTCAGTTTTTATAACTAAGAGTTGAAAATTTAAAACAAAGATTCTCTTAAATAATTCATACTGTAACCAAAAAATCTAAAAAATATATAAACACACTTATTTTTTACAGACATTTTAATTTCAAATTTAGACAAAATTTCATATTTAAACCAAGAATTACGATTTTAGTTATTTTGTTGTGATTGTATAATATTATTCGTGGGTACTTGAAATTTCTAAAGTAATCTACTATATATATCTATGATAGTATCAGGGTTTGTTGTTGGTGTATAACGCGTTATAAGTACCTAATGGATATTGTGATATGATTAATTTGGAATTCATTATAGGTCAATTTTTTTTAATACCATAGATATGTATATAATATGTCTTATACCTAGAAGGACATACCGTCTCCGCTCAGAATCGTTTTTCTTATACAATGATATTATATCATTGAATTCAAATTTAATACCATCCATTATACAATGACCCACTTGTAACCTACTGTACAGCAGAGCGACACCCACTTGCCCACCTTTTAATTTTTGATAATAATATTATTATTAAGTCATTAACTTACACAGGATAATATGCTATCATTTTTAGTTGTACTACCCATGTCCATGACTAAATAAAAATAATAATACACGATACAAGAGTTATAATTGACATGCGTACCCATATGTATTTATAATACAAAAATAAATAAATATTGAATTTGTACATAAACTATACATATAAATAACCATGTTTCACTTTTATTGTTTGATAAATAAGCTTTAGAGTAATAATTGATTTTAATAATGAATCAAATAGACAACATGATCCGTATAATAAGATTAGGTAACTGTTTTCACCTTCATATCATATAATTTTTTTCTCTGTGGTATTATTTGTGGATTTTTGAGACATATATGATATATTAAACCTTAAATATTTTATTTTTGAATAAAAAATAAATTTATGTACAAATTTCGAAGGCATTAAATTAGGTTAGTTAGTTAGACTACTACATAGCTCTGTATTAGGTTTTAAAATCCTAGGGTACAACATTTTATTTTTAATCTGTTAGGTACTTAGTGATTTCTTTAAAAGATAATGTTCATTACGTTTATGCTAATAATATCTAAGAAATTATTTTTTCTCTGAATTACAAAACGATATTTGTATATTAGTATAGGTATATAGATATAGAACCAACTAATACATTTTGTTGATAGAATCTAAAACAACAATTTGAAGATCCACTTCCTTAAACTACAGGTATTGTTCCACATCGAATGAGTCAGTAATGACTTCCTGTACAGACCCTTGTTGAGGTAATAAATAACCTCTTGTTTGGTACTCAATATTGTGTTTCAATCGAATTTGCATTAGGTATTATCATTAATTATTCAGTTTAAATTAAAATAACGCCTGAGAATATTGGTATGGAGCTTCTGAATTCGTTACGTAAATGTTGAATTTGTCGTGTACTTTATATCGTACCTACTTGATTTACTTCATTGACGAATAACTAAATTATTTTACAGACTAATAATTATAAAACAGAATAATATATTTCATCATTTTTTCAGTTTTTAAAAAATTTCTTTGAACTTTAAAAAGCATTAAATACAACAAATTAAATTAAAAACAATAAATCACTTTGGATTTAGCAATAATTTTGACTTCTCCGTACTTCATCGGATCTGCATAATCTACATATAATAATAATAATAATAATAATAATAATAATATGTTCTTATATCCATTTTAGATACAATTTATGACACTCGGTGTAAAGTATTATTGGTGAAATATATATTTAATCGCATCAATTCAATAACAAAATTTTACAAATATGCAGTCGAATACCTCGATAACCGAATTTTTTTCTTACCCCTTGGAGTGTTTTTTTTAGTTGTGTTTGTGGTATATAACTCAAAAATTAGGTAAGACAAATTAATTTTTATTCGCCTTGAGATTCGAGTTGATAAGAGTCGAATCGTATACATTATAATATAATGGTTTAGTACAATAAAATCATAATTTGAATCAGTGTTACAATAGTCGGTAGCCTCGTACTCATCGAGTTCGAATATAGAATAAGTAATAAAGTAACAAACACACGTCAAATCAGTTATCACTAAGTTTTATTAATTTGAACATAATATACAGACAATGGCATTGTCTCCATTCTAAGCTGACCATATTCCACTACTCCTGTTCTTCATATTATCTTAATATAACTAATACAATCCAAGGGCGCCCACAGGGGGGGCATTCCCTTCCCCGCTTTTTGGCCAATATTTCTATACTACAGTAATACAGACATACAGTATCATCAAGAGTATCATCAAAACAAACTTTGAGAAATAACCCCCCTTCATCAGGTCCAGAAGACTACTACAGAAAATCTATGTAAAATGTACATACCATATTTAGATTCACTGATCACATTTTTGAATGAAAGATTTCCAGAAGATAATTCAAAATATGAGATTATTTATTTCAGTTCATCCTAAATACTTAAAACAAACTAAAAAAGAAGAATTCATTATACAACTCCAAAATCTAAAATCATTTTATGGAGAATTCATAGAGAATATTGAAGAAGAAGGCCTAGTATGGTACAATATGTGGAAAGAAAAAAATGATAACAATTTGGATTTTCTGAATTTATTAGATGAAGTCACATTTTTACCTTCAATAAAAAAAAAGTCTTTTAATAGCAGCTACACTTCCATCTACTACATGTAGTGTTGAAAGGTCTTTTAGGTTTGTATACAATCTATAATACCTATATTGTTTTATTTTTACTACTTCGATTATTAATTATGTTTTATATTTGCTTTAAATTAGCTAGCTCAAAAGACTTCGTAGTATTGTTACTGAGCACCGCTTGAATGGCTTGGAATTAATAAATATTTACAAAACTAATGTTCAAGCTTAAAAATCAAACATAACAGATGAAACAATAAAAATATTTGGTATGGTACCTAGGCGCATACAATTTTTATTTAATGACCAATAATATTTTTATAAAATTTGATAGTTAATATTATAATATTAATAATGATTTATAAGATTTTTTTTTCAGTGCTCTTGATGTCTCATAATATTTTGATGAAAATATACAATTAATCATATTATTGTGTCATCAGTTTGTTTGCTAAGTTTGTAATAATACTATAAAATGCTATATCTAATATGCTATGGCTAGGTATGTATAAATATATGTATAATATACACTTTGCCCTCCTCCCGATGAAAATTTCTGCGGGCGCCCTTGGGACAACCCTAATATATTATAAAAAGTGCTTATTTGCAGTTTCGAGATTGTACTTGTTCATTCTAATTTACAATCACAATTTCGTTTCGTGATGCTACTTGTTTTATAAATACTACATTTTCTAATTGTTTAATAACTAATACATCCGTATTTACTATCTACGTTTATTCATACTTATTTAGTTATTTATAACATCAGTATATAATAATATAACTTATACGTAGAAAATAAGCCATTCCAATTTACTTATTTCTCGTACCCTCCCTCTCCCTCATAAAAAGACGAAGATTATTATCCACAATTATTATAATGCTCAGGTGTGGGAAACATTTTAAAATTATACTGTTAGTTCATTACAATTGGTTTATGCTTAGACAGACTTCGACACACCTTTTTGATGAATTAAATAAGTATCTAATCAACACGGGTTATCAGATGAATGTATAATATGTACATAAATATATTGTTAATATTATTATACTACGATGGAGAATACGGAAATTGCGCATTAGCGTGTTGTTTTTACTGATTTCGTTTGTTATTAACTTAACAGATTTTGAAATCATTTTAAAATTTCGTATTTAATTATTTTATCAATTTCGAATTAGTCATCCGACATCAAGCTGCAGCGGTCGTTCCGTGCAGATATATTATTAATTCAACCCTTTTCGATTTTCAATCAAAACAAAATCAATATATTTTTTCGGTTATTTCGACACGATATATTCATTTACAGTAGTATAACGGTAATGAAATATTCAACGTTGAAGTGGGTGCGTGTGAGTTCTTTTTTTTCTATCAAATAGTGATCGGCGTAATCATCGTTATTATGTGATACGGTTGAGGCTGCTAAACACGTAAGATCTCGACGGCAAAAACGGACGCACAAAAACATAGAGCAGGCTAAACGCGACGAGAACAATTACGTGCGATGCCGCGACTGCGTATTATTTCCGTATAAAAAAGTGTACCTACCCAGCCATAAGCATAACGCATAGGTGCACAAAGCTGTTTTCGCCACACAATGGGGGTAGACAAATAGATAAGACGCGAGCTCGCGTTATTCAGATTTCAAACACAATATTAATCGATGCGGTGGGGAGCACTTAGTGTTGTTGCTCATAGCGTTGTGTGAAGTCTATACACAACGCGATATCTGCCGAGGTCAACACTGCAGCACCTAGAACCCGCTGCTACCCGCGGGTCCCCGTCCCTCGTTTACAGTATTATACACCTTGTAATGCATCCAGCAGCTGTCCCTCGGCGACACCAAAGGCGCCGACGTCTTTCACACAAAGGCGACACCGTCAAACAAAGAAAGAAGGATAGATTTTTAACGCACACACACACACTCGGGACTCCTACTCGACAAAATAATATATATATATGTTGTGCGAGTGTGTGTGTGTGTGTGTGTGTGTTTCTCGTGGTATGATGGTGGCCGCGGTTAATATGTAATTTTGCCAGTAGACAGAACAGAATGGTATACTCGAACAAATGGGTCACTTAACGTTGACGTCTCTATCTCCGTATAAAAGAAGTCGAATGCAGCGGCGGCGGACAGCGCAAACATCAGAGGAGCCCCATATAATATTGACCTATTAGGAGGTATAAGACACACGCGGATTACGCGATTCCTATCGACTCAAGACCACATATAATATACAGTTTGGTTAAAGGCTCGTTGCCTGTACCGTAGATACTAAAATTAAACCTCAGCCGGCGGAAAAAAAATACAGCCAACTGTCGGTTTAGAGTTGTCCTCTTATTTTTTTCTCTTTCCCCCGACGGTTTTAGGTAGGTATAGTACGTATAAAATACTGATCCCACCGAAGAGGCTTATTCGTTTGTGGCTGCGACGCTAATCGCGCGTTTCTAAAGTTTTTAAAATATAGTGTCCTGTTCGTTGGTTTTATTGTTGAAAGATTGGAAACCGCACGAGATTTCAATCTTCGAGATTGATGAAATATACATTTCGGAAATGTGTAAATATTTAAAAAAAAATTATTATTCATTGATTTCCTAGGTATAAAATGGAAAAACTTTTTTTCCATTAGGATTTGAAGCAGTATATTTTATTCAACACTTAAATATTGTGTATATTTATAAGTTATCACTTATCGTCATTTCGTGTGGTAAATAATAACTATACATAAATCCGAATTAATGCCTAGCTCAATTAATTAATTTTTATAGTGGATATTGATGCAAAAGCCTCTATATAAAAGTACTCTACAATAATTGATATAAACTTTAATTACATAAATTTCACTAGATAGACTTAATTGTTTTTCAAGTTCATATAGCAATTTAAACATTAATTATTGGTTGTTTTTCGTAAAGCAATCAAAAATCTTTATTTATATTTACCTTTATATTTGATAACTTTTATTATATTCATAAAAAAACTATTATTGTCATTATGTTTAATATTATATAGCTATTAGCATAAGTCCATCCAAATACCAACATTAAACATTATAATGTCATTCTTATTATTGTGAATCCCAATTTATGATGCATGTTCTCTTTCTCATTTATCTTTACTTATATTCTTTATAATTTATAAACCAATATTATTATATATTAATTCAATGTTTACCATTTCATATAATTTCTTATTATTTAAAATTAATGTTTCTTTTTCACTTATGTATATTGTATAACTTAATATTATTAATTTAATACTATTAGGAACTCTCACTTCCACACAGCCAATAGCTTGGAAGTGACCAACTTCTAAAAATGTATCTTATAAATTGTAAAACTATAGATGGAAATAAATAAATAAATATTATTATATATGTGAACTCACATTCAAAATGACAAAAAATATTTTAGAGCACTTCAACTTTCTTTAAAGTGTATTTTTTTTTTTTACTACAACTGGGGCAAGTAAGATACCTAACATATTTGGAAAATATTTCAGCAGTAGAGGAACATAATATGAAGATTCTAAAGCACTTTTTACATGACCAAAAAGGAAATTTTGTCCACACGTCACTGACCATACAATAACTTTCTCTTGTCGTTAAGTGTTTTAAATTACAGTATAAGAAATAGAATTTTAGGTTCTAAGAATGAATATGAATGATTGATTTTACAATGATGTATTTTATAGTGTCTGGAAACATTTTTTATTGTAGAACTAATACTTTGATTTTCAACTTTGAGAGTGGTTTCTGGTAGAAAATTTGATTTAGTTAGTATGTACTTTTGGGAGTCAAAAGTAAAAATTCCCAGTACTTTCCAAAAAGACAAAAAAAATTAAGGAAAAAAGATAATTTTTACCCAAAACTTGTATTCCATGAAGATTTGTTTATTTTGGTGGAAATCAAAAACAAATAACCATACTCGAAATTTACACCAAATATTTATACTATCGTACATATAATATAATTTTCTAAATATTTTGACTCTTTTTTTAACTATATATATATAGGACATCATTTGACATCATCTAAACTTTTAGTTATTTTATGATAATAAAGATACATAAGGGCAAGCTTATTTTTATAAGCATTGGAAGTTCAAATTTTGACAAAATACGGCAAAATAACGCAGATTTCAAATTATTTTGCTGTATAAAATTTATTAAATGGTCAATTTTTATTATTAAGTCTTGAAAACTTAACAAGTATATAGTTCATGATAAATATATTATAATAATGTAACCAAAAAATCTAAAAAAAATACATAAACATAATTTTTTTAAAGACATTTTATGTTTAAATTTTGATGAAATTAGATATTTAAATGAAGTATAATTATTAAGTTATTCTTTTGTAATTTAAAAATATTATTCAGGTGGGCACTTGAAACTTTAAATATATTTGATTATAGTTTATACACACAATGCAATTTTTAAATTTAATGTTTTCGGCAAAAATTAAATCAACCTATCGTATTACAAATAGTAAAATAAATTACTTAATAGCATTATAATTTATAAGTATAATAATATAAATAGTATGATTTAAATATATCTTAATAATGTAATATACGCTGACGGATTCGTTCAGAATCATTTTTCGAATTCGATGATTTATCATTGAATTCAAATTTAACACACACATTACAGTACCTTACTAAATACGAGAAGGTACACTCGACACCTACTGTAAGTACAGCATAGAGGTTACCTATACTTTCCTCCCTTTTTTTTTCTCCTTAACTTTGGTCATTAACAAAATTGTTAAGGAAGCATGAGAAACACTCAAGATACTTAATATTAAATTTGTATGGTGTTTTACTTACAAACACCCATGATTAATTAAATTACATTAAAAGCACTTTGTATATGAGCGAAGATTTACTTTGGTTTGTGTAATAAATATATTAGACACTTTCTCAACCAGAATTTTAGATCTTTGTATTTTCTTTGTGGTATAATTTTGGTTTTTCACACTTTTACGACTTTATTTAAGCTCAGTAAACCTTTAGTACTAAATTATGATATTCATATTCA